ACACAAAATGACCACAAAGTGACACAAAATGGAGGCAGGAGGCATGTTACGCCTGCAAAATGATGGATTTACAGATTCCAACACCTTCACAGGGCTAATCGTGGTGTTGGAGGTCTGACTGTGTGTGTTTCTCTGTTTCAGCCCTCACCGCCTACACATACCTCACCATCTTCGACCTGTTCAGGTGAGTTTCTCGTCACCTTCCATCCAGATATACTGTTTGTATGCATGTTTGAGGATCACACTGAACATTTCTCCAGTTACCTGCTACCTTTAAAATGTTGTTTATGTGTTTATTATGAAGCCTGTGAACCCACTGTGTGCTCAGTTTAAAGTCTTCCACCTTCAGCCATGACTAGAAGAAGAGAGGAAGGTTTTCTAGTTTCTGTGCTCGTCTCCTGTCTGCTCGGTGGAAACACATCCTGCAGTTCAGCCCAACAGCTCCTGAAGTTCTGTGGCGTGAGCAGCTTGTGGGCTGCACAGAGCAGCGCAGAAATGTAGTTTTTACACAATCTGGTTGCTCTGAACAGTTCGGTTTTGGTGAATTTTTGACGATTCTTTCTGTTTTTTCCCCGTTTCTGGCTCTGATAAAAGGTGCAGTTTGATAATTTATTAAACAATAATAAGCTTTTCAAAGCCGCCGGTGGGTTCAGACGGTTAATTAGCGACAATCATTTTAATATTCAATTAACCGTTTTTAACAAAATAAGTGAAGATTTCACAGCTTTTAGCCTCTGAAGACCTTATATCTGGTAAACTTAAAAGCTGCTTCTTCATTCTGTTGTGATGAATTAATGAGAAGCGCTGTGCGGATGAATCAGTAATGGAAGTGTTCGTATCGGAGTTTGACAACACGATCAGATACGACGACGTGAGCTCAGCTGCTGTTTGGCCTCATGAAAAATGAATCCTGGGATCATAATGAATAAAAGATAAATGAAGAAGAGGTGAACTTCAGCTGACCTCTTTCTTTTGTCTGCCACTCGTCTCTCACTGACTCCTCTTCATTCCTCCGTCTGTCCTCTCCCATCCCTCCACCCATCACTTACACCCTTCCTGCCTCCCCTCGTCCTCCTCTGGCTGCAGTTTGATCACCTGTCTCATCAGCTCCTGGGTGACCATGAAGAAACCCAGTCAGGTCTACTCCTTCGGGTAAGTTTGCCATCATCATAATCATATATTGTAAGAAGCTGGTCTCACCTGAGAGAAGCAGCTCAGCTCACAGACCCACATTAAGAAGTCTGTAGCTTCTCTACACATTAATCTGGTGAAAATATCAGAAGACCTGCAGCGTGTTGGACTTTTGAAATCAGTATGAGAGTGTTGTTCCTCCTGAATAACAAAGTCTTCTTCATTATGAACTCAGGCTGTTTCCATGTCGCCGGTATTCACAGAAACGGGTTTTCAAAAACAACATCCTTCACTCCAGATCGTTTTCAACACACAGACCTGCATGAACACATTGTTAGGAGCTGCTACGAGCTGCCGGACCTACAGGGGGCAGTGTAACGACAGCATAAAGCCGCGTGCTCGTCCTCGGACCAGGACCGCTAGCGCTAACAGCTCCGGTGGTAACGGCGCTGCTTTGCATTCAGGTGGTACCGTCAGCTGGATGAGCTTCAGTAGGAAGTGTCTCCAAACCCTGCTCTGGTCCAGGCCTCCATCAGGCAGCTGTTAAAATGAAACTGGGCCTCCATCAGTCCAGCGATGTGCTCTCATCACGTTCCTCCATGTTGGTGGTGTTAGCGTAGCGCTGACACATGTCATGCATCATGTGATCGGTGGACCATCTGACAAACACTCCGTGTTGTCTGGACGCAAACCGAGATTAAATGAGTTAATTTCTTTATTGTGTTGTTTTGTTGTAATTAATTAATTGTAATTAACGCGTTGCAGTCCCAGCCTTGGTTAGCACTCACTGCTCTCTGCTTCGGTTTCGTCCTGCTGTTCAGATCACATCCTGGACAATAAACTAAATCACACCTCCTGTAGGTTTAATCCAAACTGAGCTCAACTCCAGCGACCGTCCAGCTTCTTGTGTTATCAGCCAACATTACAAAGCTGAAGGTCCATTCTGGTGTGTTGTAGAGATGTGCTCTGCCTCTGCCACCGTCTCCAGTGACATGAGCGTATCAGTAGCTGGTGAGCTGCGGCTCCATCTGTATTTGTTGATGCGCTGCCGTTTAATGCCGTCCTACAACCGCACACGCTCGCTGTAAACACAGATGTAGCTCCACTGTAAAGCTGCTGCTGCTGTTGACTGGATCATCCCAACGACTCGCTGACCCACAAGCGCCGTCCAACTCAAACACCCAGCTCGTCTGACCCGGTTGTGTGTTGCCGTGCACGCTGGTGTACGTGCACGTGTGTGTGTGAGAAGCGTCCAAACAGTGCATGTGTGCTGACGGGCGACCTCTGAACCGGAGGTGTGGGTGAGTGGTGATCCAGTGGAAATCTGCTTTTCAGCTTCACTTGACTCATAATGCCTCAGTGTGTGTGTGTGTGTGTGTGTGTGTGTGTGTGTGTGTTCACTGGAGCTCATTGTTTGTGTGTGTTTGTGTCCTAATGAACTTCCAATAACCGAGTAATGGTTTAGCGGCAGATTGTCCAGTTTAACCTGCTCCTGACTCCTTAAAACCCCTGCAGGAGCGCTGCGACTCTTTCCAGGAATTAGTCTGATCCAATTCACCGCCCAAAGTTGTGGTTTAATTTGGTCGGGTTACGTCCAGCGAGAAAACATCGCGTTCACGGCACATTACGTCAGATTTAGAGGCTGGAAGGAATGAGCGTTTGACGGGAATAACTGGAGACTGTTGTAAATGTGCAGGTTTATTTAAGCGTTAGGAGATGGTGGGTGTCTTCTGAGTGGCTGTGAGCGTCTCACGTGGGCCTGGGCTGTAGAACCATACCAGTATGTACCGCTGATGGATGCTGGGAGGATGCAGGTTTATTAATTATTAGGACCTGTGTGTCTTGAGAGAGAGGCTAAAGCGGTGAAATGATCTGCTCGTCTTTACTAAAATAATAAAATGATCAGTAATGAACATTTTTGTAGGTTGTAGATGTTTCTGTTTCGTTAAAGATGTGGACCGTTCAGTGGTAGCTGTGAAGGTCTCACTGCAGCGTCTGGGTGGAGAGCAGCAGTTGTTCATGACAGAAACAAACGTGGAAATTAAATGTTCAGGCCCCAGAAGCTGCTGTAAAAGCTTTGATTCAACCCAGAATGTTCAGAAACAATCAGCTGCGACTTGTTACTGCAGCGTCTGGGGTGCTCAGAACTTTGGTAGTTTGTAGAAGTCCGTCCTGAAATACTGAATATTTGATGTGTGAAGCGGGTCGGGTTGGAGGTTCTGTTGTTGCTCTGAGGTGGGAAATGTCGGCGGGTTTCTGGTCTTCTTCAGATTAACCACAAACCTCCCGACCTGATCAGAACACGCGGTCGGCGCTGAGTTGGACTCATGTGCGAGTGTGTCGGTGCAGAATTAACAGAAACACGACGACCTTCTGACCTTCAGGCGTTTGTCGATCGGATCATCGCTCCGACAAACGGTCTCTGTTTGGACACACTGGAGGGAAAGTCTGAGCCATCCGAACACTCACACTGGACATGATTCATGTTTGAATCTTTGCTCAGTTATTTCTAAACTAATAGATTATTTATCGTATAAAATGACTGTAGTTTGGGCTTCGTGGCTCACGAGGATTCATTTACATTACAAAAGGTCCTCATGTAGCAGAAGTTAATCAGGGTCTATACTTTTGTTCACATTTCCAGATTCTTGTTTGATTAATAAAAAATAAAGTAAAACATCATTTTAGTAGAGTTGCAGCTGCACTTTAATGCAAATTAATCCTAAAAGAGAAGCAACGACTTTCCTTTAAAAGCTTTTAGCGAGTCGCTCTGCTGATGTTTGTCTGAAGTGTGTTTTACAGCTTTTTAGACCAGCTGGTCATCACACATTGGTTTAAGATGTGAAGCCGAATAACGAACGCTGCATCAACATAATACTGTTTGTATTTTAAACTCTGATTTCAAACTAAAGTCAAACTAATATTCTTGGTAACTTACTTTTTCTTCATCTTCAGTTCTTGAAGCCCCGTCCTCTCTCTTATTCCACGTCTGGACATTTCAGACAGCGAAGACTAGAAATTAAAATAAATGTGAGTGACTTGATAGGAAACTCCTGTGACTCAGTGCAGTTTGTTGGTTGAACATATTAGAAGCTGTTGGAATTGATCAGGATTGATGCAGACGTGTTGGTTCCTGTTTGAGTCCAGACACATCTTTAAGGTAGAAACGTGGTGGACCAACAGAACGAGGCCAGACTGAGCATGTTGAGCCTTGTAGACGTGTGCACGTCCACTTTTGGATGCAACAAACTGCATGAACAAACACGAGTAGAGCAGAAACAACCAGAAAGATGAACCCTAGCAGCCGCCTCGGTCAGTGAGTTGGTCTTTACGTCGTCGGGCCACACGTGTGCGGCTGCGTCTCTTTGCATTAATCCATAGTGCGCTCCACTTAGCCCGGACAGAAGCTCTGGGTTTAGCAGCATTATGCAGGACATGAGATCACTGACAGCCAGCGTCAGGTTTAACCCCCATAAGCCCGGCGGACCGCTCGCTGAGACAAAGCTGCTCATCCCGGACGGGCTGCTGCTGCAGGATCGACCCCGTGAACTCAGGACGTGGTCAGGAGGTCAGCAACGGGCCCGACCCAGGATCTGCCCGGCGCTGCAGCTTCAGGCTCACCGAGCTCAGTCTTATTTATTTAAGATGGATCTGGTGCCCAAGATGACAGCCCCTCAAACCCAGTCCAGCCTTTTTCTTTCTGGATTTTGCAAAAAGAAGTTAGAGCTGCAACAATTAGTCGATAAATTGATCAGCAGAAGATCAACTGGCAGCTCATTGGTTGATCTTTAAAGTAGAACTTACACATAACTGACAGTTCAGCAGCTCAAACTGGTCTCACATCACACGAAACGACGTCTAATGACATGATGGTGGACGGACAGATGTTCGTCACAGACTTGAGGATTATGTCGGATCAATGCAGAGATGGAGAAGGAGCCAGTTTACCCCATTTACAGCCTCACACTGGAGACTGGACCCACTGGGATCGACGAGGCCAAGACACCAAGGAGCCCCACCGGACGGTCAGCGTTAGAGGAAGACGCCTTCCAGGTCTATCAGGAGGAGGTTCCACCATGCAGACCTCCAGACAGCAATGTGGACTGGGCCTGGACCAGCCCAGAGACTGGCTCCAACCTCCATCAGGCCCACAAAGGACCAGACGGCTGCCAGACCAACTTCTGACCCTGCAGGAAGTGGGGGTCAAACATGTGATGAAAGGATGTCACCTCCACCAGCAACGCCACGAGGACCACAGAACCCTTGGGCTGAGTCAGTCTTAGTGATTCTTCATCTGAAGGAGCTGCTGAACATCAGTAACATCATCCTGATCCAGCACCATGCGCTCTCCTTAAACCTTTATTTGTACTTGTTTAGGCGTCAGACGATAGCAGCGTCTGATGTCATGTGTGTGTTTAGTTCCATCAGGAGTGTGACCCGGTGTCACCACCTGACAGTGTTTGGACCTCAGATCAACTCCAAGTGGGATCTGAAAGAGCACAAACTCCCATACCCCTTTGTCACCGAGCCGGTTCCAGGTCTGGTTCGGAGCCAGAAGCCAGTCCTTTTAAACTGCTAGTGATCCTTCATCAGACCAGCGGCTGCTCCCAGATTCCCAGATCATTCCTGAAGGTCTTCTGGACAACAGGAGGTGCTTCATGTTAGTCTGATCGGAGCACGCTGTCGGTCCGATGTCGGTTAGACGGTGTAATAATTCTGCAGAATGCAATCAGCTGGTTCATGAGTAAAGCAAGCAGTGGTTCCGACCCAAAACAAATCCTGTAGACTGGATTGGATGTGCATCCTCCCTGTTCAACACGCTGATGCAGACTCGCTCCGTATTTGAGCTCATTTTAAACATGGTGAGAGTGTTGCATTAGAGCGAGTTGTTTAAAGCAGTGGTTCTCAAACTGGGGGTCAGGACCCCCACGGGGGTCCTAAGACAGTTTCAGGGGGGTCGCCAGATCATTGTAAAATAAAATGTAAATAAAGCCTGAATTTATCAGATAGATGTGTGTCAGGGCTGGCAGAGTTAAAAGTCTACACTTGTTCTCCTTTTCTGAACTTGTTAATATTATGATGTGTTTGTTTGTTTGTTTGTTTGTTTGTCCGTCCCTGAATGTTGGTGTGCTGGTGGCGCCTGGGTCTCAGGCTGCTTCTGGGTTTGGCTGAGAGCTGCAGAACGTTTAGTTTTGTACAGAATCTGATTAAATGGTTTCGTCTGGGAATATGTAGAATAAAGTGGTTGGTTGAGGCTCAGATTTAGATCATGGTTCTGATGGAGCAGCACATCAGAACCTTTTCAGTTCTGTCTGATCCTTGTGCTGATGAATGATGTACATGTGGTGGTTTATTCTGTATTTAGGTTCCTTTTGCAGCTGCTGCTTGTATTCAGGCTCTACGAGGTGAAGCAGAGACGATAACAGTGTTTGATAAGCATTCATTCATACCAACAGTTTGTGTCTCATTTATTACTTTTACTAATAAACTGTGGGCTTAACATGTGATTCTGGTGGTCCTGGTGCTCTCACACTGAGGAGGAGATGTTCACATCAGTGAGGAGGAGATGTTCACATCAGT